TCTGTCTGCGCGTGAGCCTGTCTGTCTGCAGTCTTCAGCGTGTGAAGTGATGAATCAGTTTATCCATTCTCTGAGCGGCCATCTTGTCGCAGTCCCTGCCCTGCTCCCGTTCTGGGGGCGGGGCCTCTCCACTGTGGCGCCGGCGTCGTCCTGGCGTTCTGCTGGGACGACAACCCGACGCCGCGCGGAGAGAACGACCCGACTCGAGCGCCGCGAAGACGATTTACACGTTCTGATCACACGATGCTGAAACTTCATATAATCAAAGTTAAACGAACAGATTGACTTCCTGTCCGCGCAGAAAACACCAACGAAGAAGTCGTCTGACGTTTGAGTTTTAATTTGTTGCAGAACTTTGATAAGCTGAACATCCGGACGGCTCATTACACGCCTCTACCCAACGGCAGCAACCCGCTGAAGAGAGACATCCAGGACTACGTCAGGTAACCTTCACATAATGCTACGCTAACAAGCTAACAACATTCAAACATCATGTGCTGAGTCTACTTCCTGTTTCCTGTCAGGTCGGGTTTCATCAACCTGGACAAACCGGCGAACCCGTCGTCCCACGAGGTCGTGGCGTGGATCAGGAGGATCCTGCGGGTGGAGAAAACGGGTCACAGCGGGACGCTCGACCCGAAGGTCACCGGCTGTCTGATCGTCTGTGTGGATCGAGCCACGCGGTTGGTCAAGTCCCAGCAGAGCGCCGGTATGCAGATTCCCACTTCCTGTTTGTTACTGTCAGAATAAAAGCTGTAACTGTCTCCACCCGGCCGGCAGGCGTGTGAGCACAGTAAAACCCAGCGGCCCCCCTCACTACTCTCTGTGTGTGTTGCAGGTAAAGAGTATGTGGGGATCGTTCGGCTGCACAATGCGATAGAGAGCGAACACACGCTGGCTCGGGTGAGTCTGAGAACCTCTGCTAAAGCTAATATCGAATTATTGATCAGAGTATTGATCCGAGAGGTCAGTGGCTGAATGAATCGGCTGTTTAATTGGTAGAAACTGATCAAAATAGATCAGAAATCTCACGATGGGATGTTTCCTGAGATCGTTCAGCCCTCCCGCTCTCTCTGATTGGCCGGCTGAGTGTCTGTCAGTCATGTGACCCGTGTGATTCTCTGCAGGCACTGGAGACGCTGACCGGCGCTCTGTTCCAGCGGCCGCCGCTCATCGCCGCCGTTAAACGTCAACTGAGAGTCCGAACGATCTACGAGAGCAAACTGATCGAATACGACCCAGAGAGGAGGCTGGGTAAGATCCTTATCAATAATCAATATATTGGAGGAGGCTGGGTGAGGTCCTCATCAATAATCAGTGATGTCAGAGTGATGTCACGGCGTTCTGTCTGCAGGGATCTTCTGGGTGAGCTGTGAGGCGGGAACGTACATCCGGACTCTGTGCGTCCACATGGGTCTGATGCTCGGGGTCGGAGGTCAGATGCAGGAGCTGAGGCGGGTCCGGTCCGGCGTGCTGGGAGAGAAGGTGAGCGTCACTTCCTGTCCGCTGTGACATCATCAGTCTGATTCCAAGTGTTGAGTTCAGCCCGGCTGCTCGGTGCCGGTCTGGTTATTAAACTTGGGAACAGCGACCTGCAGCTGAGGCCACGAGTGACATCATCGGTGACTCACCTGTGGAGCCTCGTCGCTGCTGACATCATCACGACATCATCACGACGTCATCACGACGTCACTGTTAGCATGTTAGCTTAGTATTTACCTCACTGCTGCTTTATAGTTTGTCAGACGCCGGTTATTTGATCTGTGATTGGTTAGAGCCACGAGCTGATTTATTGATCCGTGGGCTGATCGTCACGCGGCGCTCTTTCCTCCGGTAGGACCACATGGTGACGATGCACGACGTCCTGGACGCACAGTGGCAGTTCGACCACAACAAAGACGAGACGTACCTGAGGAGGGTGATCTTCCCGCTGGAGAAGCTGCTGGTGTCTTACAAGCGGCTCGTGATGAAGGACAGCGCTGTGAGTCTTCCTCGCTCTTCTTCCTCGCTGCCCGCCGTCTGTCTGGTTTATTATGAACCTGAAACTGGACGCTGACTCTCTGAATGTTGTCGTCTCCAGGTGAACGCCATCTGTTACGGGGCGAAGATCATGCTGCCGGGCGTCCTCAGGTACGAGGACGGCATCGAGCTGAACCAGGACATCGTTGTCATAACGACGAAGGGCGAGGCCATCTGCACAGGTGAGTCCCTGAAGCCTCACCTGTGCGTGCGTGAGCGAGAACCGGTGAAGCCACATGATGAGTCGAGTAGCGTCAGTAGCTCTCGGGCTGTGATGACCTGCTATCTATCACCCTTTTCTGATGGCTTAACTCAATATCAGCTGATTCAATAATCTGATCACTTTAATAATGAGCTATCGATAATCAATAAGTCGTCATTCTCCTCCAGCTGTTGCTCTGATGACGACCGCCGTCATCTCCACGTGTGACCACGGCATCGTGGCGAAGATAAAGAGGGTGATCATGGAGAGAGACACGTATCCTCGGAAGTGGGGTCTCGGACCAAAGGTATGTGGGAGGTTATTGATCGCCGATCAACGAGTGATTGAGTCCTGTTCTCTGTATTGACGAGTTTGTGTTCAATCAGGCGAGTCAAAAGAAGATGATGATTCAGAAAGGACTCCTCGACAAACACGGCAAACCAAACGGCAGCACGCCAGCCGACTGGAAGAGCCAATACGTGGACTACAGGTAGCTGAGGGGGCGGGGCTTGTACCGATGGGGGCGGGGCTTACAGACAGGTAGACAGGTGCAGACAGTTATCCCTCACCGAGCTGACGTGCTCTCTGAGGGAGTCAGTCTGCGACAGCAACATTCAGGTCGAGCCTCCTCGCTCCGCTGTTCGCTGAGTGGCAGCTCACCTGAAAACAGTGATGTCACACCGTCAGTGGTGACATCACACTGCTGTTAATGTTCATCGAATGTTGAGATCAAACTTCTTTAAAATGTTAATTTAAAACCTTTTATTTATTCACAGCGTCTCCAAGGCGACAGAGGAGTCATGTGACACTTCAGCAAAGGTAAACCCACCCGCCTGCCTGCGGGGGGCGCTGATAACCCGCCTGACCTTTTTTTTGTTTGAAATGGCTGCAAATTGATCAGAGACAACCTGACCTTTGACCTCTGTCCCACAGAGGAAGAGGGAAGCAACAGAAAGCGACGGTGAAGCTACGACGACGCCGAACACGCCGTCTGCAGAGGACGCCAAGAAAGAGAAGAAAAAGAAGAAAAAAGAGAAGAAGGCGAAACTGGAGGAGGCGGAGCCTGAGGAGCCAGAGGCGGAGCCTGAGGCAGAGGTGAGGTTGAGACGGTAGAAGCTCCGGCGTGCTCGGCTTCAGTTTATTTTAATGTGAACACTAAAAGATTGTTTGTCCTTCAGGTTGAAAGTGCCAAAAAGAAGAAAAAGAAGAAGAAACAGAAAGAGGACGACGCATCGGAGTGACGACGGATCAGCAGGTGAACAGGAAACTGTCAGACTCCACCCACTGACACACCTGTTTGAATGCAAAGCATTCTGGGAGTTTATTAATAATGGACTGCTTGAACGCAGGAAGAGGACGTTTTTTTGTTTTTTATACAAATCTTATTTTATGTTTTATTTTTCAGCTGTAAATACCTGAACAGGAAGACTGTAATTTCAAAATAAAAGTCTTTGTTTTCTGTATTTGTCATCTTCAGTCACTGAGATAACTTCAGACCGATCAGAGGTTAAAATTAACATTAGTGCTGGGCAACGATTTAAACTTTAATCGTGATTAATCGGTTACGAAAAATTCAATGAATTCAAAAGTAGTGTATTACGCACTTTTATTTTGTAGTGTAAAGTAGTGACAACATTTGGTTTGCACTTAAACACAACTTTACACTTAAGACAATTATTCCTTTAGAAGAAGATATAGTTTACACAGTAGCAGTTACAATAATTCTGCACTCTGCTCAGTGTGCTGTGAAGCAAACTGTTTCCATTACAGAGCATGTGAATGCAGCTCCCACTGTCCATCAGTATAACTCACTGTAACTCAGAGGTTACTATGGTTACCCAATGATGTTCAGTCGTCTCCAGTGAGAGCAACAGTTGGCATACGTTGTAACGCCGTCACTTTTGTAGTCCTCTTTTCATACAACACGTACATTGTTGTTGTGATGGTGCATCTTGAGGGAGGCTCATAGTGCCGTCATTGGTTGTGATCCTATCTTCCACAATAATATCTTCTACCTATAATAGATATATTATATTAGGGTACCTATCTTCCACAATACTAATCAATCTGCAGTTTGAAGCTATCCACTCACTTTAGCATTTGTTAGCTTGTCTTGCTTTTGTTTATCTGTACTTCTCCCACACGCTGCATCCATCGAGTCCTCTCCTGTGACCCAGCCAGTGAGCAACATATATCATAAATTATATATATTACATTACAGTGAGCTCTATATATATATATATATATATATTTTCAAAATAATTAATGCGTTAACTTGCCCAGCCCTAATCTTTTTATTTCACTCACTTTTTCAGATTTAGAGGTTTTTATGGACTTTATATGAACATCAGCTGATTAACTTTAACTAAAATAAGTGAATAATAATCAATACCACCTGATCAATAAAGTTTAACTGAGCTGAAATCATTTGTGTTGGGAATAAGTTGGAAGTGATTTTAGTGACCACAGATTTGTTTCTACTTTTAATCTGAAGCGCTGATTCCCAACCTGTGGATCGGGACCCCTGCTCGGGTTGTCAAAGCTTCACCGGGGGTCATGAGGTCTTTGTGATTTCAAGGGAAGAAAACTAAAAATACACAATAAGCCTAAATCTGAGTGTTTCATTTAATTCTGTGAAGAAAACTCAAACTAAAACCAGATGAGTTCATTTAACTCAAATTGAAACATTACACAGAAAATTTAAGTAAAACTAACTCAATTAAAAGTTAAACATTCTTGATCACGTAGCTTTTGTTATTTTAAGTGACACTGACTTTATTTTGAAATGTGAGTATTGTGGAAAGAAGTACCCAGAAAATACTTTTATGTTTTTTAACTCACAAAATCTGTCTGATTGTTAAAAATGATAAAAATACACAATGTATACAAATATCAGGAAAACTAAACTCTGATCAATATTCACAGGAAATAATCAAACTTCCTTCAGTTATTGAGTTCACTGATTGGTTCATTGATCAGTAACTGAACCACATTCAGAAGATCATAAAGTTAAAGGGACACTTCACCTATTTGCATTAAGCTTTGTATCATTAGAAGCCCAGTCATATTTTTGAATGGTCGTGCATCATTCCCTCACTTCACCGGAGAGGGGAGAAATACGGATTT